TGGAGGCTCCAACCAGGGAGATTAAGCAAGAGAAAGAAATAAAAGGCATCCAGATTGAAAAAGAAGAAGTAAAATTATCCCTAATTGCAGATGACATGATCCTGTATACACAAAATATTAAGAAATCCACTAAAAAACTATGAGAACAAATAAGCAAAGTTGCATGATACAAGATCAATATACAAAAACAACCGTAGTACTAGACATAAGCAATGAACAATCTGAAAATGAAATTAAGAAAACACTTCCATTTACAATAGCATCCAAAAACAATGAAATAGGAATAAATTTAACAGAAGAAGTGCATGACTTGTAAACTGAAAACTACAAAACATTGTTGAATGGAAAAATATCCCATGTTCATGATTCAGAAAATTTACCATTGCTAAGACGGCAATACTCCCCAGATTGATCTACCTATTCAATGCAATTGCCATCAAAATCTCAGTCGACTTTCTTGCAGAAATTCACAAGCTGATTCTAAAATTCATGTGGTAATGCAAGAGCCAAGAATAGACAAAACATCTTAAAAAAGAACAGAGGTTGGAGGACTCATACCATCCAAATCAAATTTTATTACAAAGCTACAGTAATCAAACAGTATAGTACTGGCATAAAGACAGACATGTGGACAAACAGAACTGAAAGTCCAGAAACAAACTCATGTTAACAGTCAATTAATTTTCAACAAGTGTCAATACAATCCAGTGATGAAGGAATAGTCTTTTCAACTATTAGTGCTGGGACATTGAATAGCCATAAGTAAAAGAATGAAGTTAACCCCTCACCTCACACCATATACAACAACTAACTCAAAATGGATCACAGACACAAATATAAGAGCTAAAACAAAAAAACTCTAAGAAGAAAACAGGTATAAATCTCTGTGAGCCTGGGTTAGGCAACGGTTTCTTAGATATGATCCAAAAGCACAGCAACAAAAGAAAGAAAGAGATAAATTGGACTACATCAAAATCAAAAACATACGTTCTTCAAAATACACCATTAAGAAAGTGAAAAGAGGGGGGCCGGCCCAGTGGCACAGCAGTTAAGTTTGGACATTCTGCTTTGGCAGCCCAGGGTTTGCCAGTTCAGATCTCAGGTGTAGACCTATGCACTGTTTGGCAAGCCATGCTGTGGCAGGCATCCCACATATAAAGTAGAGGAAGATGGGCAGACATGTTAGCTCAGGGCCAGTCTTCCTCAGCAAAAAGAGGAGGATTGGCAGCAGATCTTAGCTCAGGGCCAATCTTCCTCAAAAAAAAAGTAAAAAGACAATTTACAGAATAGGAGAAAATATTTGCAAGTCATGTTATCTGATAAGGGACTTACATCTAGAATATATAAAGAATTCTTACAATTCAATAAAAAGACAAAACTTAATTTTAAAAAGGGGTGAAGGATTTGAGAAGACATTTCTCTAAAGAAGACATACACAAGGCACATGAAAAAATACTCAACATCATTAATCATTAGGAAAATCCAAATCAAAGCCACAATGACATCACTTCACAAGCACCAGGATGGCTATAAACAATAACAAGCATTGGTCGGGATATGAAGAAATTGAAGCCCTCAGACCTGGCTGGTAGGAATGTAAAATGCTGCAGCCACTTTGGAAACATTTGGTAGTTCATCAAAATGTTAATGACCCAATAACCAAGCAATTCCACTCCTAAGTGAACGTGAAAACAGATGTCTGCAAAAATTTATACATCAATGTTCTAAGCAGCTTTGTTCACAAGATCCAAAAAGTGGAGACAACCCAAGAGTACATGGATGACAAATAAACAAAATGTGATCTAGCCATACACTGGAATATTATTCAGTCGTAAAAAGAATGAACACTGATACATGCTACAACATAGATGAACAGTGAAAACAATGCTAAGTGAAAGAAGCCACAAAAGACCACATATTATATGATTTTTTTTATATGAAATGTCCTGAGTAGACAAATCTATTGAGACTGAAAGCCGATAAACAGGTCTTATTTCGGGAGGTGGGGGAGTATGAGAATAGGAAGTCACTGCTAAGTGAACAGGGTTTCTTTTGGACTGATAAATTATTCTAAAATTGCACTACAGTGATGGTCACACGACTGTGTAAATATACTAAAAGCAACTGTACATTTCAAATTTTATGATATGTGAATTATATCTCAAAGATTTTTAAAAATAGAAATCTATCTCAGACTCTCTCTTTGTTGAGATATAATTCACATGCCATAAAATATACCAAAATATATTTCTAAAAACATGAGGGAAACATGAAAGGGACCAACCTGTTAAAAAAGAAAAGCAAGTAGATGTAGGCAGACCAGGTAGCAGACCTCTGCAACAGCCCACCTGAGAGAGGATGCTGGCTTGGACAAGAGTGGTGCCGGTAAGGAATAACATGGAGAAAAGTGGGAAGATTCCAAAGACACTGGGGGAAAACTCTATGGTAAGTGAGATGTGAACGATGAGGAAGGAGCAGGTATCGAGGATGACTTGCATTATGCATTTGCTTAATGCCAGAAGTTGTTCCAACACGGTTCACAAAGACGATCTTTGAAATGGGTCACAATTATGAGCAGAAGCTTGCCAGACTGGGAGAAGGCTGGTAAGAGGATGGGAGGGGTCATCCCACGAGGTGCGTGCAGAAGCAGACACAGAAAAGAGCAGGAAAAGGCAAAGCTTGGGAGCGGATGAAGGGAGATGGACGGACTGTGAAGGCCGGCAACTGTAACGGCCTGCAGGCAATAGGAAGCCACTGGAGGTTTTTAAGGGAGCAGAGAGGTGATTCTTGGCCTTAAAAAAAAGTAAGCCCAGCACCAGTGTGAAGAACAATCTGGGAAGGAGAATGGCTGGAGACCAGCTGACCCATAAAGGAGGTCGCTGTAGGGACCTGGAGAGACCTCTGTAAACCACAACCAGGACTGATGCTCTAAAACTCTGAGGAGGTGGGACAATAACGCAAGAAATAACCACTGACGACACTTGGTTATATAACTGTGCCTCCACAACAGACTACAAATACGGAAGCCGACAACAGATGAGGGCTGATGTACCCTGCACTCACCCACCTCCCCCAGCCTAGAGAGGCCGTGGGGCAGACAGCAGTTTGGGGCTCCTCTGAGCCAGGGTTCTCACATTCCCTGCAGGCTGCTGAGAGCACCAAATTCTGGACCTGCCTCTACGAGAACAAAGACATCAGGCAGATGCCTTCACCTGCAGCATCCTTGACCTCGTGCTCTTCCTTGCACTGCTTATTGCTGGTTCCATAGTGAGGCAAGGTAAAGCACACGTATTAGCCAACCTGAGCTGTCATTCTTGCTAATCCTCAAGGGATGCTGGGTCAATTTTCTGAAGAAACCATAATTTCCTAATAGCTGATTTTTACATTTCAGGTAACTGAAAACATCTGAATTTCTTAAATTGTTTCTGTATGCTCTAATTTCTCCTCTTTGATCCATTTGGATCGTAATTTAAGGACTTTCCAAACATTTTAGGAAAATTTATTTTCAATTTGCATTCATTTAACTCATAAAGACAAAAAAATACAGAATACGGTGCATATTATTAGCTGTACTTGCAATCTCTTTGTAACCAACATACTGTTGGTAACACCTAGTGTAAGTGAAATCCCAGCGAGACTAAGCTTACCCAAAAGATGGTGCCATTCACGGCTCTAATCACCCCAGTGCCCATCTACTTTCCAGCTGAATTTCTCATTATTCTACCTGTCATGCCACTCTACAGCCACACTTGCCTTATGTCATTTCCCCAAAACACCAAACATGTTCACATTCCATGCCTTTGACCATGCTCTTGTCTCTGTCTGGAATAATAAACAAACAAATAACAAGTGACGTAACTCATCATACTCCGGAGCACTCACTATAAGCTAGATACTTAGTGGACAATTTATACTAACATTCTCATCTAATCCTTACAGCAGCCATGCAAAGTGGATATTATTTTTCCTGTTTGACGTGAGAGAGTTAAGGCACAGAGAACTTTGCCTAAGAACCCTCAGTAATGTCAAATTCCATTGCCTAGTAGGGAATGCCTTAGAACTCGTTTTATCTGGCAAAACCGTAACTTGACCCTCAGAATCTCCCCAAATATGACTGCTCATATGCCCCTTGGGGGTATTACAGCCCTGTGCTTTCCCCTGGCCTTTAAAGGTGGCATCGCCTTTTAACTACCAGTGTCGTCCTCACTGCATCAGCAGCTGCTTAAAGACAGCAATCAGGACTCGTTTTGCACTTCTTATTAACAGGTTACAGGTGCTCAGCAACTGCACGTCAAAATTAAGCGGCTGGTCTTCTGGCAAACTGCTATTCCACCTTTCAGGACCCCCTTGGCTTTTCCCAACCCGGCTAGCGAAAGGAACCCAGCTTCCAGAGGAATCCCTCCGAAGGGCACTACCCCCTTCTCCGGCCCTCCCTCCCACTGTACGCACTGCTAATGCACCTGACTCCTCCCACCGTAGGTAACTCAAGGGCAAGATCGACAGCATCACAACTGCGTCCCCAGAGACTAGCCTGGTAACTGGAAGACCAAAAAAGGCTCACGACTGTTCAACTGAAGGAGAAGAGTCCCCCAAAACTAACTTTCTAAGATAAAATGGACAAGGGGGAAAACCGCCCCAGCTGAACGGCTTTAAGATTCCTGAGAATAATAAAGTGCATTCTCACTGCAGCTTCTAAGACTCTCCCCGATGCCTGAGTTGACAGAAAGCAATGACAGAGCAAGAACACAACCTGGAAGCAGGATCACACACCCGGCTTATTGACCTTGGCCCGCCAGGAGACGAGGGCGTGAGCTGCGCCGTGCTGGGCGCCGCGGGGCCGCTCTCGCAGGTAACCTCCGGACGCCGCAGGCACCAATGGGCGCCACAGGGGGAGAGGGAGCGACGGCCTTGGCCGCCCGCTCGCGGACACTGACGTCAGCCCGGTCACTCGACCTGGCGACCCCTCCTAGGACGCCGGCCGTCCGCGCCGCGCCCCTCACCTCGGTTCTCCTCCTCCAGGTACCGCACCCGCAGCTCGTCCTCCGTCTTCACCTCAGAGCTGTAGCCCCTCCGCGGGGCCGCTCCCCCGGCCGCGGGCGCCCAACCCCGGGCCCACATCGCCGGGCCGACCTGCCGGCCCATCAAGGAGTCGGGCAGCCTCGACCCCGGGCCGAGCCGCGCACAGCAAGCGGCCACCAGGCGGGCGCGGCCGGCCTGCCAAGCGCCCAGCGCTCCGGGCGCCGCCGCCATGTTGTCTGTTTACGGCGTGGGTCTGCGGCTGCTGCCCCGCCCCCGCCGTGAGCACGCTGCCGCGCACGCCCAGGCCCCGCCCCCGGGTCCCCGCAGTCGCGCCAGGCCCCGCCCCTCGACGTCTCGCCCCGCCCCTATCCCCGCCCCCCGCCTTGCCCCGCCCAGGCCGGGTGACGCAGTGCTCCAGGTTCCCCGCTTGGCCTCTCTTGCCTGGCTGTCTGTGATGGCTTGTCCTGCAAAGGCAGGGAGAAAGGGGACGTCCAAGGCTGTGCGGTAGTTTACGGGAACGTGTTCTATGAGAACTCCCCGGAGGCAGCCGCTTCCCCCCTCTCCAGGGGCTGTGCCGTGGGTTCCCGTGTTAGCTGCAAAGGGAGTTTGGTCTCGAGTTGGGCTGACAGCGTGGCAGCCCTGCGTGGGGCTCCGCTGACTCTCGGCTGTCACAGCCACGGGATGTCGGGTAGACGTGCCTGTAGACATAAGCGAGGCTGACTATATGGAGGTCAGGAAGCGGGGAGGACAGCCAGTAACAGGAGTCCTCAGCCCAACCGGAGCTGGTGGGATGGCCCTTGCCGAGGCAAGAGTCCCGGTAAGGTGCCGTCGTCTTAAAAGGAGCTCAGCCGCAGCCAGATTATGCTGAGCTGGGGTCAGGAGCACGTGGCTCTTCCCTCGACCAGAAGCGCAAAATAGCCAGTGTGTCGGTTCTCATCAAAGCACTTTGTTCTGAATTTTCTCCATCTAGCTTTTATCAAATCTCAACCGAGAAAAGGAGTGTTTGGGAATATTGTTTGGAAAATATGCTGCTATGAGCGTGCTCCCACTGCCACGCAAATTTCTGTTATTGTACATTGGCTATATTTTTGAGCAAAACTTCCTTCAGTGTTATACCCTCAGCTTTATCCAAAGTGGAAAGAAAAAGCCAGTTGGGTTCCATTACTGCATCTGCCGTGGGAATGTTGTTGAGGGCACCTTATTTATCTATAAAGTGCCGCTTGTGCAGTTTCTCTTGAAGGTTAGTACAAGGAAAAACTTGGCTTCCTTTTGTATCTTTCTCTTTTTCTGATACTCATGTTCACTTTGGGGTGTTTTGTTTTGTTTTGGTTTTTGGTTTTTGTTTTTATTTTTTTTAAGGAAGATTAGCCCTGAGCTAACATCTACTGCCAATCTTTCTCTTTTTGCTGAGGAAGACTGACCCTGAGCTAACAGCCATGCCCATCTTCCTCTACTTTATATGTGGGACGCCTACCATAGCATGGGTTTATAAGCAGTGTGTGGGTCCACACCCAGGATCCAAACTGGTCAAACCCGGGCCACCAAAGCGGAACTTGCCAGTTTAACCACTGTCCCACCAGGCCAGCCCCACATGTTCACTTTGACTGCTAGGAAACTCAGAATTTGCCCAACTATTGCAATTATTGAAACTATTCAATTACTGTTCACTTGTATTGCTAATTGTTTTGACATCTTTATGTTGGTGCATCAGTAGATTGTAAATTCAAATAGAGGAGTTACAGAACAGCTGACAATGCTATTTAAGGTAATACAACCTCAGAAAATACTTGTGATTGACTAAGACAACTGCAGAAAAGTAATCATAGATTGTATGGGTTATACTAGAAATCAGAGTAGAAGGGACAGCCATGGTCTTGATGGGTGTAGAGCATGATGGGAAAATGCAACCTAGAGACACCAGCCCCTTCTCTAACTGTTGTGATTCTGGTCCTTATTGAAAGCAGTCCCAAGGATATCCCGGTCTCTGAAGAAAGTTCATTCTTAAAAGTTAATGCAAGAGGAAGATTGGCACAGATTAGCTCAGGGCTAACCTTCCTCGAACAAAAGAGAGGAAGATTAGCAATGGATGTTAGCTCAGGGCAAATCTTCCTCACCAAAAAAAAAGTTAATGCAAATAACAGACATCATCATGACTATTACAACCTGTCAGGCATGACAACTAATGGAGAATTGCCAAATATCAGATCACACAGACATGGCTTTCGACCTCACCTCCTTAATTACTTCACTTTGAGACATCCATGAGTTATTCAAATACATCGTGCTTCCATTTCTTCATTTGCAAAATAGCTGGCATGATATCTATTTCACCTCACAAATTCTTTAACTTCAGTCTCTTCATCTATAACATGGGAAGGACTATGCCCATTTCACTGGGTTGGTGAGATATGTATGTAAAGCACTTGGCACCTGGAGATGGAAACAGAATAGATAATGTTAGCTGCCATTTATCAACTTCCTTCTTGGTCTGTTCCAGACAGTTACATATGTTATTTTATTTAATGTTCAGAAAACTTTGAAGTTGGTGTTATTGTTTCCGTTTTGCAGATGAGAATACTGAGATTAAGTTACTTACCGAATTCTGCAGCTGGTAAGTCATGAAGCTTGAATTTGGACCCTGATACCCCGGACAGCAATCCTCACGTTCTTAGTCAAGAGTGTGGGCCAGGAACGATGAGCATCAGTTTGGGAGAGGAAGGTAGGGCTGGTGTTTGGGGTATTCTATCACTACTACTATTACTACCATCTGTTTGTGGGATTTATGACCCTTGCCTCCAGCCAGCTCTCAGCCAACAGTCTTTTTGATCTGCCACACCCTTGACATTTTTCTAATGCTTACTTCTATGAGATATTAAACGTGCATTGCAGGATGGCCAACGGTGAGCTCCTAGAGCACAGCCAGCCCTGAATGGCAGAGGCCATCCCTCCTGGCACACAGCTCTGTTGCACGGAACCTGTAGGAGGGCATAGGTGTCACCGGTGAAATGAAATACTTACCGACGTGGTACCAACCACAGGGGGAGACACAGAAATAGCTTAGTAAACAAGAGGTGAAAAATAAAGCAGAACTCTGGAAATGGGAGTTTATTTTGAGAAACTTTAGACAGTGGGAGTATATTTTAAAACTATCTTGCCTGAAACAATCAGCGAGAAAGTAGTATACAATAGTTTCCCGTTCTCCGTGGGGGATCCGTCCCAAGACCCCAGAGGGTGCCTAAAAGAGCAGATAGTACCGAACCCTATGTACACTATGGTTTTTCCTATACATACATACCTATGATAAAGTTTAACATAAATTAGGCACAGTGGGAGATTAATAACAATAACTAATAATAAAATAGAATAGTTATAACAGTATACTATAATCAAAGTTATATGAATGTGGTCTCTCTCTCTCACCCATTTAATATTTTGGACCATGGTTGACCACGAGTAACTGAAATCGCAGATAACAGGGGACTACTGTATTGATGTAAACACTGGCCTGCTGTATCAGAGACACCTACGAATGTGATGGTTTGAACAAGAGAGAATGTTGACAGTCCAGGCATGGTAGCATGGCTCTGCCATCCTCAACGTGGGACTTCCATCTCTGGGTCTAAAGTGGCTGCTCCCTGCCACCAGCAAGACGGGAAAGATGTGGGGAGTACCCAGTTCTACCAAGGGGAAAACCTAGAAATGGCCCATGTCCCTTCTACTACTTCCCCCAGGCCACTCCCGGCAGCAAAGGGAGCCTAAAATTGTAACCCTGTGTTGGGCAACCCCATACCCAGTGACAATTCTGTTACTACATAGAAAGGGGATTGTAGATATTCGAGAACACAATCTGGCACAGAGCCTTTTGATTTTTTTACTTTTAAACCTAAACTTTTGTGAATCTTAAAGATTCACAGCTCTAAAGTATGAAAGGTTTCATAAGAAATATCTGGAACCACAAACTGAAGACTTTTTCTACATGAGCTATCTGGGAGTCATTGCTAATTATATCTTCAGAATTGAAGGACGATATAAAAGATAAGTGTATGAAGTTGTGTATACAATTAACCTATGTTAAATCTATGAGGATCTACGTATACGTGACACATAGGGACACTTGTAAACTACGTGTTTTATGATATAAAACTGAGAAACTATTTCAAAACTATGTGTGCACATAGACAATGATCAGGTGATAGAAAAGAATATATATATATTTATAGTTGTGTTCAAGGTGAGATTGTTGTCTGTATAATTTTCTGTAAAGCTCTTTAAGTATTAAATAGGCATTTTAAATATTTGTAACTTTAGTTTAAGGTAGAAATAATGGTCATAGTACATTTCAAGAGGGATGCAAAGTTTTACTCTTGCTTTAGTCCCAAAATAAAAATTAAACAACAGCCTCCTGAATTTCCTCGGGTCTCTTTTTACTGCTTTTCAATGTCTTCTTTGTCAGGTATTCTCTAAGCTTCCATCATGGGTCCTCTCCAGTTCTCCCTTTCTCAACCAACCTGAGTACTCATCATCTGAGAGGGGAGGATTGAATGGCAAATCCAGAAAACCTCATCTCCAGAGTCTTGAAGGGCTCTGGCTGTCCCTGGAGAAAAAGTATGGGGAAGGACATCCTCTTTCCCTCTGCCCTGAAGAGGCCTCCTTGACTGGACACCCTACCCCCCACCAAGATTATGTAAATCCCATTTGTAGGTACCAACCACAACCACATGTGCCTTGGAGTTCCCCCAACCTATGAGGCAGAGAATGGGTGCTGCACAGACAAGGAAACTGAGGCTTTAAGTTACTGAGTTACTTAGCTATATGTTACAGCTGAGACTTAAACGCTCAACTCCAGAATCTGGGATCTTGATGATTATCTTGTGTTGTCTGATTTCCCAAATGATCATCAGGGCTTCACCCTACCCAGCCTTACCTCATTCCCGGCTGTGGGGAATTTGACTAATCCCCTCGTCCTCTCATTGGAATCCTCACCTTCTGCTTTAGATCCTGTGTGGTCATGACTCCCCAGATGCTGCCTCTTCCTCCTGCCACCCCTATAGTTGCCAATTGCACATGTACTCATACACGCAAACACACACACACACACACACACCAGGCTCTGAAGATACATGCCATTATTGTCTAGGGATAGGAGAGATGGGGACCTTGAGGCATGATAGCTAAAGGATCCTTTGTGGCTTCTTTTTGGGGCTGATGAAGGCGTTCTAAAATTGATTGTGGTGATGGTTGCACAACTCTGAGAATATACTAAAAAT